CAAAATGGTTTTATTAAGATTTTTCTAGTCTAATTTGTGCAGGAAACAGGATATACATGGTAAAGTTTTGGGTTTCAACGTTATGCACGTCTCTGTTTTCTTCCTCTTAAAGTGCTGGTTTGGTTTTATATCCATGACATTTGTTCTAGTGCGCCCAATTAATTACATCTAATATGACTTACAGATATCTGATAATGGTCCCTGGAACTACAATTTGATGGGAGTTAAACACGCTGTCGGCATGAAGTATGAATGGTTCTATTCCAATTCGTATTCCAACCTCAAATTAGCTACGTGCCCTAATCTACTTTCTTTTGTTGAACCAAATTCATTTTTTTAAATGTCCCGAGTTTTTCTATTTGAAATTCAAAGACTTGCAACTTATATTTTGCAGACATTGTTTTTGAAAGAAAAAGTTGTTTGTGGGTTTATATGTTGTTGTTGTTGTTTGGTTTGGCGCACTCTAAAATATATCTAAATCCCACAGGATAAATTTGCAATGTAGCAAAAGAAAGTTTTAGATCTTATACATGCAAAGGGAAATTATGTAAAATTTTAGATTGAAATTTAAATCAAGATGGTGAGTTATTTAATTCTTACTAAATACCGCAAGTCTTTAGCAACCCGACCAACCCAACCGAACCCAACCAACACTTAGATTGGGTTGGGACCATTGGGTTGAGTTTCAACATTTACATGAGTTGAGTTGAGTTGGTTTGTGGTAAAAATCAACCAAATACAACCCCCGCCCACCCCTAACTAGACATAGGCAAAAAGTTCATTCTGCACGCGATTAGCACGTGCATCGCGTTTTAATGATGCCTCTACAATCACCGACGGCACTTACTCTCTACACACACTCAGTTCACGAACAAACCCTAAACCCCAAAACAAGAAAATCGGAGATATGGGAGTGGAAAAGGAAATTCTGACGGCCGGAACTGGTCCCAAGCCGGTCCCCGGACAAAAAGTCACCGTCCACTGCACCGGTTTTGGTAAAAATGGCGACCTCTCCCAAAAATTCTGGAGGTGAATTTGTTCTTTTTATGGGTTTCAATTCTTAATGTTTTTGTGCTCGTATATACTTATATATGTATATATATTGTATATATGAAAATTTTAAAATTTACTTTTCTAAATAACCATTTGAATTTGAAATTTTGGTAATAGCACCAAGGATCCAGGGCAGAAGCCTTTCGATTTCCAAATTGGCCAAGGAAAAGTTATCAAAGGTACTTTTTTGGCAAAAATTAAATTATGTTAGGATTTTTCTGTAGATTTTCTTCTCTGTCTATTTGATGTACTATCTGTAATAGATGATTGGGATTTGGGATTGTGGTAGGAAGGAAAGAGAATTAACTGAATGGAAATGTGAAATGGAAGTATAGATCTTCGTGGGGTTTGATTAAAATTTGTAAGAGCTGAATGTATTTTGGTCCATGGATGGGTTGAGATAGTTACCTGTGTGGAATCCTAGCGAAAGTGACACTCTAGAGACTTGATTCTGAACTAGTTCATCAGTTTTCTCTTTTATACTTTTTGGAAACAAGTTGCATATATTCTGCTGCAAATTCCGAGTAAAGGAATCTTTTCATGGTTTAATCTTCCTACTCCATTTTGAATAAATTGGCTAAATCCACTATGTATTGTAACTTGCATCATCTAGATGTTGTTTTGTTGTTTATGCTATTGAGCTAAGGCTTTTGCTAGCTTGAAAATTTCTTTCTGGAATTGCTCAATGTGAAATTTATTTGTTCGTAATTACAATTATGTACTGCATTTTTTTCACAGGATGGGATGAAGGCGTGTTGGGAATGCAAGTGGGAGAAGTTGCTCGATTACGGGTAATATTTAACTACTTGGTTTCATTCTTATGTGGTTAAATGTCATTTCCGTCATTTAATTAATCCAAATGGCATCAAATGACTATAGCTCTAGTTGGGAAATTGGTGGTGGGATAACATGTTTGAGAACATGACAGACATTTACCACGAAACACGTCACGATCTGTGCGTTTCTTATTCTTAAGCTTTTGAATTTTTGCTTTCTGTGAGATTCAAACTTTTATGAAGTGAGGATTACAGAAGCATGAAAATGAACTCGACTCACTTTTTCGTGTAATTATATGATTGTGCTACTATGGCATCTAGGGTTAATGCCCATTAATAAATTGGAACATCTTTGTAAATATGTATTTGATATAGAATTGGAAGGGACCATATTTGAGCAAGTTTCTAATTCAAGCTCACTTGTGGAATATTTGTCATCTTAGGTTTTCTATCATGACTTAGGCCCTATTTGATTGTCATTATTTGGCAAAAACAAAGTTTTGAATATTGAATTTTTGGAGCATGTGATTAAAAAGTCAATGAAAAGTTTTGGGTTTACATGCAGAATATTTTATCTTGTGATTGTGTGGTTGAAAATAAGTACGTAGAAAAAAGAGTTTTTGGATAATGGTTGTCAAGCAGGGGCTTATACTACCTGAGTATTTGTTTAAGCTCTAATTGTTGATGAACCCTCTTTCTTGCTCTCTTACCCTCACTACGATTGAGGCTCGTACTTCAGTTCTTCATTGATTAATACTTTCCTTAATTAGAATTCTAATTAAATTTCTTAAGTAAGATGGCATGTTTTGCTGGACAATTTTTTATCTGTTTTTCTTTCATTTTGTCTTCTTGTCGTCGTAATTATTATATCATTATCTATTTACCTCATTTTTATTTGAATGTATCATTGCTCAATCAGTTCTTTCCTTTTCCGATTGTCGGCGAAAAACATAATAATATTAGGACTGTATGTGCTTCCCTGCTTGCATATTAAACTCTTGCCAAATCTGTGGTTGACTACATAGAAGGTGTTGTTCATTTTAGCTTTATTAATTTTTACAGTGCTCTCCCGACTATGCCTATGGTCCCGGTGGATTTCCAGCATGGGGTATTCAGCCCAACGCAGTTCTGGTTTTTGAGATTGAAGTTTTAAGTGTGGAGTGATCAGCATATCATATTTATTGAGTGGCTTGGTTACTTACGTTTAATAATCGTGATTGTTGAACATGCTATGTCTTGTTTGGGAATTGATCTTGGTCGATGCTTCTATTGATCTGACCATGCATGATGGAGTTTTCTTAAAACTTAAGCTGTTCTCTTAAAACAGTTATATACTGATCTTGGTTATGTCATTTTGGTTCTGGAAGAACTAGATCCTTAGCAGTTTTCAGGGGACATGTTAGTTTTAATGAAATGTGTATTAGGTGTCATGTTATAAGATTTAACGTAGTTTAATTCTGGTTGTCAATTTACTACAACTCAAGATTGGGGTCATCTACGACTCTACAGAGAACATGGTGGAATACAAACTAAGCACCTGTTTGGTGTAGATTAAAATCTACTAAATTTTTTAATTTAAAGTCAATAATTAATTTTGTAATCACACATTTTTTAAGTTCCACAACTTTTTAATTATACATTTCATTTTTATCAAAATTTACTAAAAATCGATTTTAATGAACACTATACGGGGTTCATTAACTTGGTCGAAGTGCCACTAACAGCTTCTCTGGGTGCTTGGAAAAAAAGGTGACGAGGCGTTGAGACCGAAATAACTCACCAGTTCCTCTCGAGTCTCGAGTGTACAATTCCTCGACGGGAAAAGCTGTTTGTAGAGGAAAGCTGTACACCCTCGTGTACGGATGAATATGTGGGCAAACATTCTAGCTGCTACCATTCCAGCAGTCAATGCAGCTCCAAACAAAGCGTGCAATCTCACACAGTAATATTTTGGCATGAATTTTTTTTCCTGTCAAAGCTTTAACTTAGTATGCATAATTAGAAATTCCAACTGACACCATAGAAATGACGGAAAAATAAAATAGAACTTCAGAAGGGATGGCAACGGGTATGTCGGGCCCCCGCCCTTGCCCTGCTTGGATTCTCCTGCCTTGTTCGTTCCCATTTTCTGTCCCGTATTATGGACTAAGGCAATCGGTCGGATTTGGGCATAAAATGTTGGGATAAGGTGTTTCTAAACAAATTTTGATCATCCGATAACGGCAACTTCCTGAATGGTTTGAGGATTTACATGAATGGAATAACCACTTCAGGTATTAACTATCCGTCAGATTAGTTAATTAAATTTCAAATTCTTCAAATGAAATTCAATTAAAGAAATGCAAAGCCATCTCCAAAACCATCCCGTCGTATTGTGGCATGGGTATTTAGGACAAATTGCCATCCCTATAGCAGATGAAAGATTTTCCCACTTCTTTTGTGTCAAAACAATCAAGCTCATCATATCAAAAAAAAAAAAAAAAAACTATCAAGCTCATCACATCAATTTATAAAAATTGCACATGTACAAGGCCTTTGGTGAAACAAATGTCGGAGAGATTTTCTAATATAGAACAAGATTCGAAAAGACAATAACGAGGAGGCAGAGGCTAGCTAAGTTTTGGCTGATTGAGTTGACAACATGCATTGCTGCGGCTGTCGGCTAAGTTTTTACAAATAAGTTATAGCCCGTGTTTGGCTCCTTATTTTGCCAAAAACTCATTTTCAACTATACATTCTTTCATAAAATAATTTTACATGTAAATTCAATTTTTTTTTTTTTTTAATTTTCTAACCACTCAATTTTTCAACAAAATATTATTCCAAAATGCATTTTGACCCAAAAATGGGGCTCAAACAGGGTGATAAGATGAATAAATTATTTATTGTACAAAGTTGAAAATAAGTTAGTTATTTCGATGAATTAATCTATTTGTACCAAGTTTGTTGACAAAGATAGATGACAAAATTAGGTGTACGGTTTGGATGAATTGTAATTAACGGATGAGATTGAATTGTCCATTATCT